CAATGGCTCGGCTTTTCTCATCCCGACCCATTCGGCGAGCAATTGCGGGTCCTTCAAAGCATCTTGAGAAATTTGATCTCAGGGTCCGTCAAAGTCGAACATGATGCCGTGTCTCAAATCAATGGCTGTCTTCGCACGCTGACACCTGCAGAATGTCGGAAGATACAAGCTGGCACTATTTGGTTGGATTACTTTTCTGTGCCTCAGCACCTGGGTAGCAGCCCCATTGCAGAACAGCCCCATTACGTCAAGTCGATTCCCTCCTACGTGGATCGTTGCGAGGCCTTCCTTGCTCTAACACCAAGTGCGGCCCACGAGATAGGATATCGTTGCAATGATGACACCTGGATACAGCGAGGTTGGGGAAACCTATTTTGTTTTGCCCTTGTTTGTTGTTTTTGGGTCCCTTTGTTTGTGTTTTTTTGGGGCCCTCTGCTTTTTCCCCCCGGCGTCGTTTTATTTACACAGGGAAGGAAGAAAGCAAGGAAACAAGGAAGGAGGAAGGAAGGAAGGAAAGAAGAAGGGAGAGAGGGAGAGAAGGAAGGAAGAAAGCCAGGAGACAAGGAAGGAAGGAAGGAAAGGAAGCAAGGAAGAAGGATCGAAGGAAGAAAGGAAAGAAACAAAGCAAGGAGGGAGGAAAGGAAGGAAGGAAGGGAGCAAGGAAGGAAAGAAAGAAGGAAGAAAGGAAGGACGGTAGTATGTCAGTATGTAAAGTAAATATGGTGTGTGTGTATATATATATATATATATATGTAGTATGCATGGTATATGTAGTATATATAGTATATATAGTATATACAGTATATATATATATAGTATATATATATATATATATATATATATCGTGTATATAGTATATATAGTATATACATTATATATAGTATAGAAAGTATATATAGAGAGAGAGTACATATGTATTATGTGTATATATATATATATACACATATATGGAGGGCCTACTATTTGGGATCTTGTTTTTTTTTTTGTGTGTGTGTGTGTGCGTTTTTTTCCTTATGTTTTCCTGGTGAAAACACTATTTTCCTTACGTTTTGGACGGATTTGGTGTGTTTTTCCACCGGAAACGAAAAGAACCCAGGAAGAAAGAAAGAAACACCCCAGAACAAGGACCAAAGCAAGGAAGAAGAACAGAAAGAAAGAAAATCAAGACGGAAGACAGACGGTTTGAAACCCCCCCCCCCCCCCCCCCCCATTTTGAAACTAAACTCCCGACTCTCTAGAGCCGCGAAGAAATGAACAAAAACGTATTGGCCGACACACAAGAAGGAGAAAGCCAGACAGCAACGCTTCAGGGGGTTTAACGCGAAGTAAACACAATCAGTCGTGAAGGATTTAAAATGTTTGCAAATGGGGGGGGTTCGCCCCCCCCAACCCCCCCGCTTTTTTAGACTAAACTGCCCGCTCACTAAAGCCGCGAAGAGATGCACAAAAGCATATTCGCCAACACATAAGAAGAGGAAAGCCAGACAACAGCGCTTAAGAGGGTTTGACCGCGAAGAAAACACAATCAATCGTGAAGGATTTATAAGATTGGCAAATGGGGGGGCTGCGCCCCCCCAACCCCCCGCTTTTTATAGACTACACTCCCCGCTAAAGCAGCAAAGACAACAACAGCAACACTAACCACAGCCACAACCACAACGACAACAACAACAACAGCAAGGTAGTATAAGATTTCCTGACGGTATCCAAGAAAAATCACGCCAAATCCGTCCAAAATGCAAGCAAAATAGGGGTAAAGCCAAGCAGAAGAAGCAAAGTCCAAAATGTACGGCAAACGGTTTATTCCCTAGAACAACCGAAGGTTACGTACTCTTCGCTCGACGTATTGTAGGTTTTTCTGAAGAAAACCAAAGACAATCACACGAAGTCCGTCCACGATGGTAAAAAAAGGCGTTGTCCCGAGGAAAACCTAAGATAATGCACGTTTTACGCGAGTTATTGTAGGTTTTCCTGCGGAAGTCCAGGGAGAATCGCACCAAATCCGTCCAACATGTAAGAAAAGCAGTGTTTTCCTGGCGAAAAATCAAGGAAATGCATATGTTTTCTTAAAACAAACCAAAGAAAATCACACTAAATTCGTCCAAAACACAAGGAAAAGTGTTTTCCTTAGGAAACCCAAGGAGAAGCACCAAAAAAAACAAAGAGGGCCCCCCCAAACAAAAAGGAAACTGCCCAAAAAAAAACTCCACCCCTCGAGGTTGGTGCAGGCTCGAGTTGTGGTGCAAGACGTTATCCACAAGATCCAGCATTCCAGTGATTCAAGTCACCGGCCATGACGTGGCACACTTCACAAAGCCAGATTGGATTCATAACCCGGTACACTCTGGCGACTTTGCCTTGGAGGAAGACCGCCCCGCCAGTATCCGCGTCGTTCAGGCAGTTTTGGAGCACAAGCTTTGTGAGCTGCGCAGCAAGAAAAGATTGACGGCCTACCGGTTCTACAAGGCGTGCTTTCATGCGATGATTGGCGTTGCTGTCGTAGAGCGCAGCATTAAGGAGTTCCTTTCCGAATTCGCATTCTCGCTGCCACTGCAGCAGTACAACGGCTTGGGCCCGGTGGCCTGCGCAGTTCCTCAGTAGACTCAGCAGACTTGTAAAGACTGGGGATGACTGTATGTATCTTGACTATGCTCCTTAATAGGAACTAGCCCGGCAAGCTTGAACCAGAAGATACGAGTAGCAAGAGAGGGACAAATCTGCTCAGGCACTGGCAGGCGACAGCCAGCTGATCCGCAGCCTTGCCTCGGCCAGGGCTTCCGTTAACACACGTGCGCCAGCGATGCCTGAGGTCAAGAGCGTTCAAGGCCTCTCCCCGTTGCATTTAGCTTGCATGTTCAGGAGCCACGACCTGAAACTCTTGCACACACTCCTGGAGCTCAGAGCCGACATCAACAGTTCCAATGGATTCCTTAGCACTCCGTTGGGATGGTGTCGCTCAGCAGGCGCTGTTGAGCTATTGGTTCGACACGGTTCTGGAATAAATGAATGGGGAAACCTCATCTTTCATATGCCTCCGATCGAAGTTGCTCTTGGATTGAGCGCCCCATGTGAAGTCCTGGCGAAGCTTCTGGAGCTCAGAGCCGATGTGACAAGCTCATCGCCGTTTTTCTCAGTCGCATTTGCAGGTGGCTCCAACAGTTTGAATTCGGCACGGATGTTGCTGGGAAGCAGGGCTGATGTCAACCAGCGTCAGCTGGTTGTGGGTATCGAGCGGAAAATAGAGTTGGCAGCGAGGGCCTACTGCTTGTGCTGCAGAGAGCCGCCAATCCTGGCGAAGTTTTTTGCAAATATCAGCACTACTCCGCTAGGCTATGCGGCCATGTTCAACAACGAGGACTTCCTGATCTTCCTTCTGCATGCCCGGGCAGATCCAGAGATCAAGAACAACCGAAACTTGCGGCCGATAGATCTTGCCAGCTCGGAAAGAATCCGAGGGGTGCTGCGCTCGGACAGGTGTGAATCGCATCCACTGGTTTTGAACGTATCCAACCCGATTAACGGAGTGGATACTATGGGGTCTCTACCGTGGTTTAGCATATAGCCCACACTTGCCGCCGAAGTGGGGAGTGTGGGGCTGTCGTTGGCGAAGTATACATATTTATATACCGATACATGTGTGCATATGCATATATATATATATATATATACGAACGGTGTGTCGGGTGCTAGCTCTTTCATGTGTGCTTCAAAGAAGCATCTGACTGCAGCCGTGTGCTGTGTTTTGATTCAATTTTAATGCACCGGTCCCTCGACACCAGCGAAACAGCATCGAAGCAGCAAAAAGATGATCAGCTATGACCCGGAGGCTTATGGACGTTTGGGGTGACGATGCTCGAGCGCAGAGACTCGGAGAGAAACCCCGCGGAGTGCAGAACTTTCTGAAGCATTGCCAAAACAACAGATGACAGCACAGAAAGCGGCAGGATAAAATAGAAGAAGGAGGCTAAGCTTAGGGTTCGCAGATGCTGAGCGTTGCCTCCAAAGCTGCCTGCGTCACCCCCTTAGGTTGCACTTGCGCTGGCCTGCGAAACGATAGGATCATATAAGGGAGAGCACTTTGTGGGTATGTAGAAGACTTGCTTTGAGAAGTGTAGCCGCCCCTCATCTTTCGCCACCCACAGTTTCACCACGAATGGGGTGCAAGATGAGGTCCTTTCAGGTGAAAAATCAATGGATCCAGTGCTGCAACCAATGAACCAAACGGAAGTAGAAGAAAGTTGACTGGCCGCGGCCATATCGTCGCACCGACCGGTCGGATGGGGAAGTACTGAAGTGCTCGACATGTACAAGTCATTGTAAGCCTGGATATCCACAATGTCCTTTGACTTGGCTACTCCTATTTTTCCACAAGCTCATGCAACAGAGTACCGCTTGCAAAAGCAAAGCCGACTCAACCCACCAGCCACCAGCCGAAGCTCACTTGAAACCTCTATGCTGCCCGGCTTTCGCTTCGACTTTCGTCAACGGATTTGGCTTGTCCTGTGACTTGCCCGCATTGGGGAGAGTCCACCAGGTCATTTCTACATTCCGCTGGTGAGGGTTGGAGACAAGTGGGAAGATCAGATTCGTTCCACACTCTTCCTGTAGATATCGGTGACCGCCCATGGGTTCGCCAGAAGACGGCAACCCCCGAGCGGAATGCTAAGACAAGTCTTCAAGAACATGAAGAGTGCAGCTTCGTCGCCAGCATAGTAAGTGCTATGAAGTACTACCCGACGACATGGTGGGAAGAGGGATACTGGGCAGAGTCGGAGCACGAAGCAAGCACTGCAATCACCACACGTGGCGCCTTGGCTACGTCTTGTAGATGTCAATGTTCAGTAATTACTAGGAACTGTCAGAGCAGTACAGGGTCACTTGCAGTGCGATCTAAACGATACTTCAAGAGATGGCAACAAAGACTGCAGCAAGAGCAAGAATGCCCTCTATCCGTCGTAGAGTCGTGCATCGTGAACCTCTAGACTTAGTCTCTAGTCCAGGTTGCAGCTTCGTGGATGGTGGCAACCATGGCAGGTCTTGGCACCCAGCTGCACAACTGTGAAAGAAGCATTGAAAGAAGCGCTGAAGCACCGGAGCTCCACCGCAGGTCGAACATCGATGGTCGGAGACAACTGCGAAGGTGGCCGTGAGACAGGCACAGTTGTTCACACGCGTGCGTGCCATTCTTGACATTGGTTTGGTTCTTGGTGCATCCGTTCCCCAAGAGTCTTTTCAGACTACTGCCTTCTGCTTTTTGAAACCATGGACCATGCAAGCTTTCGACCGAAGTCTCCTGCCCTTTGGTGATTCAACCTGGCAAAATTGAGCCGGGATCCTGGCCCTTCCTCTTGAAAATTCCGAGGTAATTGAGTCAGATGACTTCGGGTCTGACAGCTGAGACGCCTCTCGAGCAGAAGAAAGGAAACAGCAATAGAACAATTTGAAAACATGCCGCAGGTAAACAAAAAACTTTTCCGACGAGGCCGCTCCGCAAGTCAGAAGTTATGTTCGTTTGCAGATGTACTGACAGTGACTTGGCACCAGGCCCTTCTGCTACTGGTGACGTGAGTGCTGAGCCTTCGTGATTGAAAAAGTACGAAATTTAGAAAACGTTTGAAGAAGCCCGAATTGCAAAACAAACAGCCGCTCCAAGGGCGCGATGCGCCGCTAGACAGGCACGGCCTACATCGGGGACGGTATCGCTTCACTTCCTTCAAATCTCCGATGTGACCCTGGTTGCAATTGTACTCGCGGGAGAGGGTGCTGCTGCTGAGCAGAGATGAAAAGCAGAGCTGGTGAGCTAGTAGATTCATTTTTTTGGCGAGCGTCCTGGAGACCCTTCAACAGAGCAGCGCAGCTCCGCTGACCAAGTCCCACATCACGCTATCGCCGCTGTCCGGTCAAGAAGCCGCGTACGGCAAGAGGCAAGATAAGATGCAGCGCTTGGACTTTCTGTAGCTCAGAACTGCAACAGATCATCACTGCTGCGACTTCCCGCCTTCAGTTGTCGAAGGATGCACGATGCCTTTTACGGCGGCTCGCCGTGCTTGTGGAACGGATCCACTGCCGCGGCCTATGCTGCCGCCTGGTTCGTGTTGCTGCAGAGACTGCATCTGAATCTACTTCACCCAGCTTTTTCTATCCTACCGATCGTTACTCAAACGATCATTGAAGTGTTGACATCCTTCGTATCTGAATCTTGGGAGTTCTACTGTTCTGATGATGGACAATACCTGAGGTTCAAACTGCTCCCATGTTCCGCGAACTTGTGGATGTGGCTGCTTCAGCTGCCGTCGACGTGCTGGCCTAAGAAGCAAAGTCTGCAAATACTCGCCCCGTGGTCCGTAGGAAGCAAGTCCATGAACGAGAGGAAAGGTCGTAACGCCATTTGCAACAAAAGAAACGAAGAAACGAAGCCATTTACATGCTGTAGTCGTCGTCGTTGTAGCAGAAGGAGCAGTAGCAAGAGCTGCCTTGACCACAGCAGCAAGAGGAGGAGGAGGAGGAGGAGGAGCTGCAGCGCAGGATTGTCGGGAGCAGCTACCAGACCGCGAGATCAAATCAAATCATGAAAGATGAAGTCAACAGCTGTCCATCTTCCAGCGGTGAAATAGGGACCCAGCACTGACAAGAATTTCCAGACAAGTCTTGCCTGGTTTCTTTGGAACAACTTCTGCGCAATAAATACACAGAGCCCTTGGTGTTTCCCTGCAACTTCATCCTGCGTGCAACTGCCTGGATCATTGATCATAGAGCAACTTCCTGCACTATCGATCGTCATGCTCTTCATCTTTTCGTCAAGCAGCCAGTTCTCCTAACAGCCGCGACAGTCCGAACTGCCCAAGGCCGTTTTGCTTTCCGGTGACATCGTGAGCTTTCCCCAGGCCTGTGCCGTGCGCGTGGAACATGCACTGGCCCTCCTTCATGGGTCAGGCAATCCGAGAGTCAGCACATGTACACGGCGGTGCTCCCACGAGCCGGTAAAGCAGAGTGCAACGAAGAGGGGCCCTTTTTCACGCAGGCCTCGGCAGTCGACACAGTCAGCGGCCTCCTCAACGAGACCATGCGGTGCGCGCATCTGCAAATCTCGCTGCTGCATCAGCTGCTGGAATACATGTTTTGGTGGTTGCTGGAGTTGCCGTCGGCGTTGGTAGCGGCGGTAATGCTGCGACCGAGTGGTGGTGCTGGTGCTGCTGCTGCTGCAGTTCAGCTTTCCTACGCACCATGCGCTCAGCATTTGTAACGGTACAAGCTGAGTAGCACGTGTGTTCCCCAGCAAAGCATTGCAAGGAAGAAGCTGAACGGGATCATTCTTCCTGTCACGGTTCCTTCTCACCCTACCCTCGATGTTTGAGCGCCATCATCACCGAATGTTCACACTTAGCTTTCCTTTTGCGGCCACTTGTCGGATAGGTACCAATGCGGGCCTCAGCAGGGGCGCCGCATTCCCTACGTCTTCACCAGTGGGAATCATGACTGGTCGCGTGCCGCAATTGCTTCGAGAGAAGCCCCAGACTTATCCAGTTCGTTCTTCTCGCTTATTGCCTATGGCCAATTTAGAGTTGCTGTTTTGTCCTAGCAGCCACTGTTCTCTCATATTGTCGCAGTTTTCGGAGCTCTACAACACCTTGTGCAGGTTTCTCGAGGGCCTTCCGGGAAGTCAGCCGGAGCTTCAGAGAACCTGGCGGTCGTCACTGGCTCAGCCCACGTTCATTGGTTTGCTGAGTCACGCTCGCCTTAATTTCTGAAGGAGGAGTCTTCAGAAAAGCTTGGAGACCGGCGCTAGGAGAAGCTAGGTGGTAGAGAGCCTCCATGTGCTGGCAGTATTCAATTGTTCAGTCAGGGCCCACAAGGCATTGTTGGTGCAGCAAGTCCTTCTGTTGAGTTATTAGGCATCCCTTGTGCGTAAGGTCTGCGCTGCGTCCGCACGGCTGACACTGCTTTGGGACAGCTTATGTCGAACTGCCATTGCAGCCGTGAAGGAGTTTGCGGGACATCAGACATGTACAAAGTAAAAGCATCCTGGGCACCATCGCCTTTGTGGTCGCCAGGCTGTATGTCTCCAGCGCAACATGGGGTGCGGGACTTGGCGGCGAGTGCAGCCTGAGTCAAAACCAGAGAGAAACCCATGCGAGGCTTCCAATCTCAATCTCGATAAGCCTTGCAAGAATAAACATGAAGCGAAAATAAGCGTGGCAAGTTGCAGTGGTTAGAGGGCGCCATCAGGAAGCAGTAAGTCGCGATGAGCAGAAACAGCCTGGACAGCGGCGACCAAAAGATCAGTCGAGCACGCATGTACATGACCAAGTCGAACCCGGGACATTGAGCAGGAGTACTTGTACATCCACGTACGTAGACCTGCTGTTCACCGGTCTCATACCAACAAGCCATGCTTCGAGAAGTGAAAGGCAGCAAAGAGGATACAATCCGAGGTGACTATCCGCAGTTCGACTACTCCAGTGCTTCGCCTGCAGAGGAGATAAGACGTAACAGTTGATGAGACGACGCCTATCCGGCTCATCCCAGGCATGGAGGTGGAAGGCGTGCTCCTGGTAATCATCGACAACTCACGCTACCAGGCAAAGGGCGTCCTGGCTTGCCATAACCGCACGATTACAGGGCGGCGCCATCATCCCGACATATCACTTATCGGCAACATGATCACTCCTGTCGCCATGCACGGCTGCTTTGCTACTCCCTTGCTACCAAAACTTCTGGCTAAGTGTTGTGCTGACAGTATGCGGAGCCCTACATCACAAATTGGCTGCCCAGCCAGGGAATCTTGAGAAACCAAGGCGAATCCAAACACTCCACATCACCTGTATTGCAGCTGCTCCCCATGGAGAGTGAGAGGTCTCGCATGAGCAGCTGGCCTTCTTCCGGGAGCAAATGCTTCGCTGGCTGCCCACTGCTCTGACCTCGAGTTTTGGACACGTCTCTCTCGCGCAGTCTCTGCTTCCTTGCTTTGCCCCAAGTTACTTTTGTTCCATTCCTTTTCGGCACAGATCTCGCCTGAACTCGTGTCACCAGCCATGGCCCTGTGGCGAACGTTCTGCCGAAGCACTCGGCTTCAGACAGCCAGGAAGTCTCGTAAGCTGCAGAGCTTCGGTTCATGGCGCACTTCATCAAGGTGAAGGACCTGACGCCTAGCTCGCTGAACGTTGATTTGATCGTGAAGGTCGGCTGATTTGGGTGGTTTCTTGCCTGTCTGTCCCTGCGAACTTGAAGCACCTCCCTCTCTCTCTCTCTCTCTCTCTCTCTCTCTCTCTCTCTCTCTCTCTCTCTCTCTTTTTGTCTCGTTTCTGTCTGCCGCGGCTGCCATGCGACATGACGTCCGAAGCATCCTTAGGCGTGTGCTTCTGTGGACATCAGGACCAGTCACCAGCACAAAGCATTGTTGCATCTCCTTCGCAGACGAACCCACTTAAGACTTAAACACATCCCAGATCGCACACGATGTGCGCACACGATGTGCGCAGACTCCACGAAGGCAAAGCTACAGTGAAACTAGTTCGTGGTCGATCTTTGCTCATCAAACGAGAACTCACAACGAGCGAACCTGGGTTTCAGCAAGAAGCTTCTCCAAATATGATCTGGGCCGACTTCGCTCACAACACATGGTGACGTAAGCACAACCACCGACATAGCCATGGAGGATGGGCTCTCTTTCGTCGGAGCCGGTACTCCAGCTAGTATCCGATGAACGAAACTGCAACGGCTTTCGCCGGAACACCTCTAAGCAATGCTGTCGCGGGTACGCTGTGCAGAAACGGGGCCTTTAGGATTTGCCCGGGCCGTGAGTACTGGTGTTTTGGGGAAGGGGCTTTGGCACAGCAGCCGCAGCAAAGATAACACTGCGAGTATACGTTTCACCTGCGAGGGCTGGTCGTGCCAGAGGTGCAACAATGGTACTCGTACCAACACTGCCTGACCTCCCGGGAGAAGGGTCATCTAGATCTAGGCACCTAGGCACTCTAGTCACTCTAGTCCCAGTCCTGTTGCTGCGACGACAAGGAGCGCCCCCGTCCTCACATGCCCCTAATGCCCCTAAGCCCCATGAAGGTGCTGGCATCGGACGGCCGCCTGCAGTGCTTGTCCGGAGCTGGGCTGCAGCTTGCCTGTGTCACCGTCGGGGACGAGACCGGCACCGTCTTTGGAATCAACTTCGGAAGCCTTTCCTTTCTTCATTGCTTCACCCTGGTTTCCGGTTGCTTTCACCCAAGCTCTGAGCGTTGCTATGACTGTCTCTGACTCTGACTCATCAGACTCTCTTTTGGTCCTCAGGTGATGTTGCGGCTAGCGGCCCAGCAGGCTCGCCTTTGCGAGCCTGGTGCTACGCTGGTGCTGCGAAGTGCACGAGCAGAGATGCCGGGACACCTAGAAAGTCTGCCAAAAACACTAACACATGAGACACTTTTCGACGAGCCCGAGTGGTTTGATTTCCCGCCATTTTTTTCTTGAAGCTTGCAGTGCCTTGCAGGTTTGCCGGGCAACTGCGCCTGGAGCTGGGCAGATGGAGCAGAGTCAGCGCCTTGGGCGACGCGGCGCTCTTCACCCCAAAGCTGCAGAACGACATCTCCTCGAAGGACTCCTCGGCACATTGCCTTCCGTGTTCCTGTTTTGGACGGCTTGTTGTGACAGTTTTGGCAGTTTGACGGGTGTCTTGTTGCGAAAGAATCAGTGCCACAGGAATATGCCGTCGACGAAAGCCAGATACTCAAGAACTGTCAGAGGCAGAGTCGCGATGCTGCAGATGCTCCATGACGAGCACTTGATGACGCGACATTGGACACATAATGCACGAGAACTTCTAACGAGAAAGTCGTGGCCCACGTCGCCATTTCTCGGGTGCCTTTGGCTGCACAGCGCATGCGCCTCGGGCTGACTTCGGTGCACAGAACCACGAGAGCCATGGAATCGGGTCCCGGCGATCGAATCAGCTGACGGAGCTCCGATTTCCCGCGATTTCCCGCCGCGAGGATGCAACAGTCGACTCCCGCCGGATCCCGCCGAGCACGAAGGGACGTAAAAGAGCCGTGCGACCTTGAGTCTTACGGAGTATTGACAGTATTTCTGATGCATCTGGTGCTTCAATGACAATTCTTGCGCACTGCCGTTGCGTGAGGTGCTGGTGCTACATGTGCCGCTGTCGCTGACAGACAGTTTGCGACCGCACCGCGGCTTCGTCTTGCCGCGACCTCAGGAGTCAACTCGAGAAAGCCGCGTCACCTGTGCTTTGGAACTGGCAGAAAGTCGTAAAGCGAGGACTCACAGGGTTGAGGCTTGAGGTAGGTTGGAAGGTCACCAAGACTGGCTTCCAGGTGTGGCGATCCTGCTTGGGGAGAGGCGGGGCGGCGCGGCTCTGCCTTGCCCCTTGCGGTCCTTGCGAATGTCACGCACTGCGTTGCAGAGGCCACGGATCGATCCTGGCGAGATGAACGACGGGATCCCTGGCCGAAGGAGAAGAGTTCCTTGCTTGAGGCAACAGGAGAGAGGAGCAAAGCCTCCTCTCAGGATTTTTCTAGTTTCGAGTCTCTTTGCCGTCGCGAGCCGGCAGGAGGGCAACGACCTCGCGACTGAGCTTTTCCTTGAGGCGATGAGTTCTGTAAGCCCCGTTGCTTCGCTGAAGACGGCCGCCCTCTTAAGCACAATTTCGGCTGGAGAAGTCGCTGCTCTCCTCGATTCAGATGGGTAGAAAGCGCCCTGTATTGCGAAGGTAAGTGCCTCAGGTTGATAGAGAGGATGCAATGGGACAGGCAGTCCAAGCAGCGGCAGTGCCAACCGGGCCTCTTCTTGCTCGGGTCCAAGCAGCGGGCGTCCAGCAGCTGTCGGTACTGTCAAGGTCCCAGACGGACCGGAGCCCCCCCAAGCGAAGCGCGCTCCGCTCCGAGGCGGTCTTGAGCGGCCACACCCACGGCCACGATGCGACGGCCTTTGGACGCTCCCGGCGGCGCTTCGAGGTCGAGGCTTTCAAGAACACGAGACGATCTTCGAAGCTTCTCTCCTTTGGCCCACAACGTGCTGCACCTTTTCGACTAGACTGACTACGAGGTTGTGTCCCTTTGTAGATCCTTCTTTCCTGACTCCCCTACCGCCACTGCTAGACAGATGACATAGGGCATCGCGGTTTCGAAGTTGTCCGCTACTCCTCATCGCGTCTTTTCGTCAGCCCGAGACGTCCCGACCAGGAAGCGGGTGATAGCAGCGCCTCGGACATCGTGCCGTCTGCAGTCCAGTGACCCGCGTCGGGGGTTCTCTTGGATCAGTGATGTTCAGGCATAAACCAGCGCAGCAACTTAACTGCGTGCAGGTACATTTGCGAGCCTTCCATGCGGGGCGGCCATCGTTTTCTGAATGTGCTCCGACCCGAAGAATGTATCAAGGAATAAAGATGAGGGCCAATGCTTGTGAAATGCAACGATGTGCACATGTTAGCCCAGAGGGCTGTGCATGCTCGCGGCAGGTGGTTCTGACTTCCGCTGAAGGCCCGGGTGAGAGTCGAGACCGCGAAATCGCTATTGCCCCAGCGATTAAACGCACCTTCGTTTCGTTGTGAAAGAGAGGGCGGAGGAAGGGGCCACGAATGGTCTTATGCGAGAGGACGCTGTCAATGAGTCACTGAAGGTTTCAACGCCAGTCAATTCCATGCTTGAGGGTGGGCCTACATGTAGCATCATCGACATGATGTGTGATCTTGTCAATGGCATGTGAGAAGCAGAAGCTCAGCTCCAGCGCATTCAGACTTGTTACAAAGCTCACTTCAGTCGCAACATTCTTCAGCTCAGCTCTTGGAGAAGCAATCCTACAGCACTCCGACGGCATTCCTATTGCGAGACACGTTGAGAATGGGCTCACGACACCTGTCATCTCAGTCTTGGCCAAGCTCGACATGCCATGGTAGTGCCCCCTTGTCATTTGCCCAGTTTCCATCCTGCGAGAGCCCAGAGCCCAGCACAGCGTGCCAGAATCCCTCGGAATCACTTTGAGCAAGCGCACGGCCGCCGTGTCCTCAGTGAGCGTCAGTGGGCTTCCTGCGAACGGAGGATTGGAAGAAGGGATGCTGCGAGTAGTGGCAGGAGCGTTATTCAAAAGCCTACGTTTGGAGTTTATTTGTCCGTGTCACTTCTCTTGAACAGCTGCACTGATTGTAACGAGCCCAAGGCGCATGACTTACTGTTGGGTCTGACCTGGGCAGCTATGAAGACAGCGCACGAGCTTGGACCCCAGATAAGACCAGCTTGCTGCCCTTTCTGCTTGCTGGTTGAAGGCTAAGGGAGTCTAGAATTGGCGAGCTGTTAGGAGTTCGGTGTCGTTTTACCCCCGCCCCGTTCAGCTTTGCAGAATCCTTCTCCTTGCGCCGGGAGGGCGCCGTCTAGTCTAGAGTCTAGAGTCTCGCACCTTCATAGAGCGATCCCAACATTCAAGGCCCGGCGAAGATCCCGAGATCGAGCACGATCTGGCGATGCCACCTCAGCAAGGAAGGGAAAGGTTTCGGAGCCAAGTTCGGATGGGCTGGTGTAGGCCGTGGGCTCTCCAACAGCAAATCGGCCGTTCGACTCGGTGCGCATTGTCCCGAGCTCTGCCAAGTGCAAGTGAAAGGGAAACCCCTCGCCCTGAGGTGGCGCTGCTGGGGCGGCATCAAGAATCTTGAAGCAGCGGCAGCCGGCATCGAGCAGCTCGCAGTCAATCCCGGATCGCATATATGTCTCCCGCAATGCCTGCAGCCCGTCGTGCTCCCACGCTCGGTGTGCCCCCGCAAAGCAGGTTGACAGCGGTGGCCGGCGTCCCAGCGATCCGGGCAGAAGAGAAGGGAGATGCGGGGCACGTAGGGCCATAGGGGATGCAGAGCCGAGGCAGATGGAATTGATGCGGTTCTGCATCGCACCACCGAGGCCCCTTGAGGGGCCAAGGGCTGTGGCTCCGGATGCTCCCGACAGGAGAGAGAGCAGAAGTCTGCTTGCAGTGCCAGGCTGTCAGGGCCGGCTTGGCACTCATGGCACACGGCCTGCCGGGGGCCCCACAGCTCCTGCAGCCAACATCAGCCAACGTCAAACCAAGCAAAGAAGCCAGGCCAGGACACCGGAGAAACAAGGCAATCGGGAGCAAGAAACCCAGGCACAGGACTCGATCGGATCAAACACAGCAAAAGGAAACACAGGTCTCCAAATGCAATAGTCAGTAAAAAGCAATCTGGAGAAAACAGCAAAACAGAACTCAGGATTCCGACAGCATGAAACTGAGCAGCAAACGGAGATGCGGTGAAAATCCAAGTATCCGGCATGTGACCTGCCATGCAGAATCGGGTTACCTCAAGACGCCAAACAAGCAATCCAGCCGCATGTAAAAGCAAGCCTGAGTAAACCAGCGCTGACGGCACAGCAGCAAACCGCATCAAGCAAAACACACGCGAAAGAGCATTGAGTGCGATCTGTATATATGACCTGTTAGTGATGCCATGAGTGTACCCTGCATCGTAGGTTCGTCCTAGCCAGGCGGGAGGCAAAAAGCAAAACACACGGGACCACAAAGAAAGGCGGTCGGACATGTGCTTTGGCTTCTGGTTGTGCTCCCGTTTGCGTTGTTTGATGCGGGCGTACTCCTGTGTCCTGGGCTCTTGTTTGTGCCTGTTTGTTTTGTATCATGCGCTGGCTGCTTGTGTGCTCCCGTTTGCTTTGTTTCGTGTGGTTGGACTTTTGCGACCACAAGAGGCATAAAGTGAAGTGGTCTTCCTCTTGTGCTTGCAAATCTTTGCTGAGGCGCGGGCTTCTGACAGCATCGTCCAGCAGCTGTCAAGGAATTCGGGGATTCGGAGGGACTGAGGGGATGGGAAATCGGACATCGCATAGCACCAGCTTGGAGTCTGGTGCGAAACGAGGGCATAGCTCGCAAAAGCTGAGGGGACATGAAGGCACGCAGCTGCGAGAAATTAAGTCTAGTTCGGACAGGACGTCGCATCTTTGCAACCTGCGAGAGCTGCCTGGAGGCTGGTCTTTGTGCAGTGGGCTCTGCTTGGATCTTTTTGGATTGTGCTCGGACAGGCAGTGCAGTGTCTTCTGCACTTCCTGGCGCTCTGGGCGGATCCACCGATGCTCTCCTACTCGTTTGGGGCCCAGCCACAGCTCCTATGCAACACTCTGCACGTAGTCGCTTTGAGGCCTGGTTTTCGGCTGGAGGCCGGGAACCTGAGTGCAGAGTGCCTTGCATTATTCCAGCATAGGCCACCATCACAGGCCGTGAAGGGGGAGGGAGCACTGGAGCAGAGCTCGACGTAGCGGTGTCTTTGTCTCCTTGGATCCGACGAGAGATGTTCATCCCTCTCTAAGGTGATGGCTGACTGCACGATGCTCAGGGAGTTCAACCAGGCACTTTTGCCATCTCTTTGTGAAGTGGCCCAGAGTCTGAGAGTGTACACGCAGGCCATTTGGGCGTGGCAGGACGGCGACTGGGCCACATTTGGCTACGGCGTAGGCCGGGAGATGCCGTGTGTTTGCACCTTGAACCTGCGCTGCTGCGCCACTCTGCTTCATTCGGAACTGCGCCGCAGGGAAGGCCCTTCTGGCTGCAAACTGCTCGCAGTCGCAGACTTGAAAACGGAGTGCTAGCCTTTTCCATCTCTACAGGAAAGATCTCGAAAGTCCGTGGACGATTCTGAAGTTGCATCAGGGATTCCGCCGGTCCTTTGAAGAATCGGGATACCGCTGACTTGCTGGGTTTTAGGGCTACGTCGCATGAATTGCGTACAGCAGTGCGCAGCAGAAGTCAACCGCTGGAATCGGGCTCAAGACTGAGCTCCTGCACTCCTCGAGGAGCACCTGACTCTCTGCGCTGGGGCTGCACCTCTAGACACGGGCAGCTTCAGCTTGGGATAGCAATGATAGCACTCTTGTCTTTGCTGCCCTGTGGCCCTGTGGAGTGAGGGGGAGTCGAGCAGTCTCTGAAGCTCAACGTCCAATTGTTACTGATTACTACAGACTACAGAAGAGCACAAGAGATGGACTGAGTCTTCTGCTGCGGGCATCGTATCGAAACAACAGCCTAGGCTTTGCGTTCTCCGCACGGGCGTTGTATTATGTGCACGCTTACATTTCGTGTAAACGACTGTCACAGCATCAGGCTGGCGATGTTGCTTTGATGTGCGACTCCCAGATGTCATTCGCAGGGCTTCCACACCCAAACGGTGGAGTAGTTTTATTTGAAGCAAACGCAGAAGGGGTGTCGCTGCTTTGTGTCTCCTCAAAATGCGAGTTCTCTGAGGTACAGCTACCACCACCCGCCTCCGCCTCATTACGGCTACGCCCCACCGCCGCCAACATCGGGGGCGTATGCGGCACAAGCGGCAACAGGAGGCTTCCAGCGGGAGGGTCCCTCTTGTCAAGAGGTCTACCACGTAACGATCAAGATCTTCGTCTTTGTGTTCGAAAGGTGAACCGCCTTTCATCTTTGCTTTGTTTCTCCGCATCCTGGTTCAGCCATCCAAATGTTCCTTAACAACTGCTGCAACCGCACAGAAAGAACACTTTCTGTACAGGTCACCCACCACCTCCTGCATATGGCTACAGCAGCTATCCGCCGCCACCAGACGGCCACCCGGCACATCCGCCACGGCAAGAGGGCCATCCACCACCTCCGGCGTATGGCTACTACCCACCGCGCAGGCCTCAATTTGAATTTGATGCGTTTTGATAGTGGAGGGTGCTCAAGACCTCCGAAGCGCCGGAACGGCGTACGGAATTTGTTGATGGTGCCCGTTTGCATTCTAGGGGCTCGTCGAGATTCTCCACCTGGCCGCAGCTACAGAGGAAGAAAACTGCAATCGTCATCACTGACACTACAGTTGCCATCACCAGTGAGACTTTTCAGCATAGCTGCTTCTGCCGCTGCAAACGCGGCGGCACAGAACACGAGCTCCAGGTTGCCGGTAAGTCGCCGGAAGAGAGCCATTGCAGTCATTATGTGCGCACATGGACGAATCACAAAGGCCCCCGCCAGGATATCCTGGCTACCCCAGCCGGATCCCTGGCATCGGGGACCAGTGGTGCGAGACGTGCTGCTTTATGTTCGGAAGTCGGAAGTGGAGTAATGTAGTGCGTTGCACATTCGACCAAGACCTTCCTCAGACCACCTTCGCACTCCAAGCCCAGACCCTGTGAGAAAGGCTGATGTAAACAAAGTTCCCTGACTAGCGGCTTCGATTTCACTTCTCAATGCAAACAGCACCCACATTACTAGATTGGCCACAAAGAACCGCCTGCTGCGTGAGCAGCATAGAAGTGTTTTCCACTGTGAACCCAGCTGCTCCAACAGGCACGCCCGCTGAGGCCACGGATACCCTCCTCCACCACACGGATGGCATCCGCATCCACCGCCCCATGGCTACTGGCCGCCTCCGCCTAGAACTTAAACAGCGCCGAAATGCCTCCACGGATGCTTCCTAGCAGCCGCCAGTGTTTGGCAGAATGGGGTGCCAAACAGGGTCACAGGGGCTTGCGAGGGATGAAGCAGGCTTAGAGTCAGACTCCTCGCAGGAGCGAGTGCACAGTCGCGGATCTTGTGATTTGGAGATTTTCTGGTGTCCGTGTTCACTGTTGGTTTTCGATGTGTCTGCCGCATTTTATCGAGGCCTGCGCACGGGTATCCGGGCTACTGGCCGCCTCCCCGCGAGGCTTCCAGAAGCAGGCGACGGTGTGTCCTCGTGTCCTCCTCCTGCGAGACAAGTGCGCACTGTCTCTTCCAACTGCGCTCCGAAGCCGCCAGCCGCCTGACTGCAGACTCTCGTTGCCAGGTCCCCTCGGAGGGACGGAAAGTGCCCCGGGCTTCGGGTGTGGGTTTCGTTGCGATTCTTGGGCACTTGATGGCCAGCCATAATCCCTGAGAGGCTCTACAAAATGCAAATCGGCTCCTGCCGAAATCTTTCGGCCAGGTATACTTGCCGATTTTTCATCGGAATCGACAACGATGTCGCCCCGACACGGTTCAGAACTCCAGGGCCTAGTGTACCGTGGCCGAGAGTGAGCCAGGATAAGTTCAAAGTTGCCAAGCGCATCATCGGTGCCAACGGCAGCAACATGAAGGCGCCCAGCCCAGCCCCGGAGTTTTGCTTTCACCAAACTTTACAGCAGGACTGCTGCATAAACTACAACGCCTTCCGCGCCTTGCGATAGCTTGAGGAAATCGTCAAAAAGTCGGGCGATGTCGCCAAGCTGCGGCTGCGTGGCAAAGGTTCAGGCTTCGCTGGCGCCCTAGTGCCCGCCTTCTGCCCTGGCATACCACCGAAATCTTGCACGAGCCCACCGACAATCCCTGCAGCACCGCTACAGAATCATGCTTACTACCATTACCGCCCTTCCCCTTTGTCTCTACGGCCCTTGCACTTAACTTTCTATCAGTTTCTCTCTGGCTTCATGCCTCGGACTTCGTCTTGAGCCCGAGAGCGCGGCACCCGAGGCCGAGCGCGACACGAACGAAGAGTCGCCAGCCAGGGGCCCAAAGTCGGGCCCGAAAAGCTGCCCCTGTAACAGGACTAACAGGGGCCTGGGCGCAGGGATTCCCCGCCTCGCAAGCATCGGCATCAGCAGGGGGGGGGGGGGGGGTGCCAGCATCGGCAGTTGCAGCAAACGAACATCCACTCACTGCAGGTCCGAACGACTAATCCTTGGATAGGTGAAGATGCAACTGCAAAGACGGATCAAGTCCAATCTGGAAGTGGGTGCTGGCTCTGGTTCCCAGTGGAAGCTAAGGAGCCGCTACAGCTCTGCATCTCTTGTCCCACCCAGCACGGCTACGAAATAGCTCGGACGTGGCTGGGACTGCAAAGGGCTTTTGGGCAATCCGGAATCCGGAAAAGTTACCTGCGCTGAGCGCAGAGGCTGTCTGCTTCATTGAGCGGTTTCGATGGTAGCTGCAAAGAGCAGCAGCGATGGGCTTTGCGCAAGGAAGAACGCCCGTGTTGCATCGCAAGCGCAGGTGCGTGGAAGACCTTCTGCTAAACGTTTACGACGAGTACGAAGACTATTGCGAAGAGCATGGTCTGGACAGAGTGCTTGCTATTTGCCGGCCCAGTTATATCCACGAACTTCTCATAGACAGCGCTCCACGCATCTGACATGACAAACGGTACAGAAACGGGTCTGCCAGCAGGAGTGCGAACCGCCGATCATCCGAATGACGGAGAGGCCGGTGCAATCAAACGTACACGTTGCCATCGGTGTATTATATTGCTTCTGCAGCACTTGGTTTCGTCCAGGCATCTGGCCGGAGATGGCGGCAGTGGGGGTGGAGGCACCATCTCTTGTCGAAAATAGTGGACCTCTTTGTTTGGTGAGTTGGGTTAACGAAGTAGCCTCAGTTACATGGGCAACGAACTTGGTGAAACGGAAGGAGTTTGAGGCAATATAGGGTTTGGATGTTTTCGTCGTGGGTTTAGGGGTCGGTGCTGATGGGTTAAGGGGACCCAGCGGTCCAAGGGTCTTTCGGGCGGTGAGGGTTCTGGGATGCGGTGCGCTTCGTCGGGGCTTGTCCGCTAACCACGCGAACCGAGAGCTACCATGACACCAGTATGTATCACTGCCTCCACACTATCACGATTCGTCGCTACTGCACTTCACTACTAACGACACAACAACCGACAGGAGTGTGCCATGCAACCACACAAGAATTGATTGTGATCATGGGGACTGCGCCGCCACGTGAAGGTGAATCGGACGAAAGCTGGGTCATGTTGGGTCCTTGATCAACTCTCTATACGATAATGCATTACTAGTCTTGTAATTATGGGAGTAGGGCTGTGAGCGGCGGCTATCTTCGGCCCACAAATGTTTACTCTACTACCAAGTACATGTATAGCACATTCCACGAACACGAAAACCGTGCCCTCACAAGGTGATTCTCCTTACACCGGAACCGCAAACAATGGGTGGAAGCGTGCAGACACGCAGCATTCATTCATCAACTAATTCATTGATCCATTGCCTCGCGATTTTCGGGAACCGTGTTCCAGCCCGAATCTGTGCCGTGCTTCGTGTAGTGTCATAGTCGATTCCGAGAGCTGTTTAAGGAATCACGATCTAGACTCTAGACTCTAAACTGTGACCTGCACGTCACTGTTAGGAAGAGAGAGCAGCCTCCCTTGTCATGATTCACAACATCGCACAGAGCATCTCCCGTTTTATGCTAAAAAATAACCCGTTTGCTACATTCCACGCAGAATGCAGGGTCTTGTTTGTGTGTGTGTGTTGCCGCTCAGGGGGCAGCGCCGGCAATAGGCCTGCGAACAATAGGCCAGCCATGCTCATGACGGCGATCAGAATTTTGCATCACCCGTTTGCATGTGCACTGCCCTGTCAGGGGAAAGAGAAAGCCGAAAGCCAAAGCCAGTGCGGCACCCAGGCAGCTTGGCTGAAGCTGGGTCCGGGAGCCTTGCAGCGCCCATCAGCTGAAAAGCGAAAAGACCAGTCATCACACAAGCCAAAGCATCAGGTTGTGGGAAGCCGCAGACCTTACTGTGTTCCAACTTGAACCGTCTTGAGCCACTGGCAGCAGTCTGACAATCGTGCTTGGAATAGTCCCTCTTCATGCTCTGAAAACTCTCAATTCAGAATTTCCGATAGATTTCCTCCGCCTCTCTGAAGGGACTTTTCCTGTAAACTTTCCCCATGTGCCGCAGGGTTGAAGACAGCGACAGAGGAGACCCGCCAGACGGCGCGCCTTCCGTCGAGGACACGGCTGCATTCAGTGTCTTGGTTTGAGGCTGGACTTGGACCGTTAGAGCCCAGCTGCAGCACATTGTGAGGGTCAACAGAAGCCCAAAGCTAGAACTTAACGGTGTAAGCAGTACGAATCTTGGAACCAAAGCATGAGCTGTGCTGCGAGAAAGTCAAAAACAAGCCTTCGACGTGCAGGAGATTGAGCAGATGATATCCGACAGAAATGCCTGTCGCAAGCGCGGAGAGTATAGCAAGGCTCGGGGACGGCGGCTTGCTCTCTGCATCGGTCTGAAAAATCAGTAAGTTCAATAGGAAATGGATTAAATCCACCGTGCAACAGAAGGACTGCTGCCAACACAAAAAATCGAAATGAATGTCCGGCACGTTTGCATGAAGTGATCTAGATCCCGTTGATCTCAGAAACTTGATCTTGAGATGCCGCACTTTGGAGAGGCAGATGAGATTCGGGATGACCTGAAAGCCCGTGGCGTCGTCCTGAGCGACGAGAAAGGACCTGCTTCTGCACTCGTATCAAGCTAGCTCGTTTGCTTTGCAAGCCCTGTCTCAATGAGAGATCACGAGGAGCCCACGGCGATGGGTTGACTGTAACTTCCTGGAGGTGCATTGCTCCCGAAGGGGTTCAGGTCTGAGAAGGCACGTTCGCTGCTCTAAGGGCTGCTTGTCTTGTCAAGCGTGTGAAGACCTGTCATCGTCTGGCATGCCTGTTAATACTAGTATGGTCCGAGCATTGCCAAGTGGGCAGAAACTGTCTGCTCCATGAAAACACCAAGTCAAGGGATGCATCTCACGAACACACGATGGTATGAGCACTTTTACACACTGCTATTCTTCCTCCGGCTGCTGCAGCTGCTGCACTACGACTCCACCACTACTACTACAACTGCCACTACCACTTCAATTACTTCTGATCCTGCTGCTATTGGGTAGAAGGCTAAGTTGTAAGTTTTTGCAATTAGAGGCAACTTTTTACTTCTTGGACGTAGCTTCTTCCTACCTGCCCCACCTACCCCCATCACCCACAAGACGAAAACCCTAGAAGCGAGAACCTTTTACCCAAAACGAAGGCCCATCAGGAGTGAATCCAGCAGAAAACCTTTGAAGGAGTAAATCCAGCAGCAACCTGTGGAAAAGACGAAAACCCTGACAAGCGAATTCAGCAGGAACCTTTTACCCAAGACGCAAACCCCAAGGAGTGAATCCAGCAACAACCTTTGACCCAAGACGAAAACCCTAGATGAACCTTGTGTGACAGTTCTGCCTTGGTGCTAAATACAGCACTACTACTACTACTACCACCACCATCAGCACCACGACGACGACTGCTACTACTAGTACTGCCACCACAACTACTGGCACTACCACCTCCCACAACTCCAACACAACCCCTCTTTCGGCTGGTAATCTTGTGGATGTTGCTATTTTCATGGTGCTGGTGCTTACAGAATGCACACGGTATCGACGGACGAGTAGTTGCTCGTGAGTTTGTACTATGGAGCAGGTACAGTTAAGTTGTGTAAGCACAAGCGCCATGAGCACAGTCATTACCGCTATCACCCTCATGGTTATCAGCTTATCATTATCATCATGTAGACAAGTGCCTTGCAGCTGCGACGGCAGCTCGAAGCCGCTTCTCAGGTACTGGCACAAGTGAGGGCATCTGGTCGGCAACTTCTCTGTGGAGATCTTGCCCCAGTCAGCGGCTTTCGCAGCCCTTACTTCCAACACCCCAAACAGAAATACTTGCGTTCTAGCCCTGCACATCTCTCCTACACTGAGTCCCCGACTTGGCAAGCTATTAGATGCCGGAAGCCGGCAAAGGCTCAAGAGTAGCTTGTGAAAACGAATCGTCTCCGCGGCTTACACAAAAAGTGTGACACCGCCCTTCGGCACGGGCCCGGGCTACGTGTAGAGATTCACGATCCGAAGCAGGACTGGCACCCTGCAGCGTCGGCTCAAGAGGCAGCTGGAATCACAGATGCCTCAAGGCACCAAGCAGTGGCACTTCAGGCTGTGGGCTATACCAGCTAGGCTCTAAACTTTGCCTTTCTCTCCTCGTAACTTCTTCGACGGGGCAAGAATGACGGACCTCGACAAGAAGCTTCGCAACTTGGAGAGCCTTGGGCTTTGAGTTGAAAATCGTGTCGGAGCTTTGGAAATCATCGTATGGGGCATTGGGCGGGATCAGAGCCGAAGCCGGGATTGAAGCCGAAGGAAGAAACTCAAGCAGATCGACGAGCTGGCTTCCAAGGAGCGCGCTGGACAGAACCTTTGCCCGCAAGAGCTTTCTTTGTCGCTTCCCGTAGTTGCGTAGCTGTGGCGCTTCCGAAGGCCATCATTTCGATCCTCAAGCCCAGAAGCTGGCTGTGCCGGGAGTGATTGGGTATGTACTCTGATGCCAGAGCCCACCCCAAATCACATTGCGTGCTCATGGAATGTCGCGGCTCTGGGTTGCAATGCACACTGAGGACCCTCAATGCAGAGCAGAAAGGAAAGTTGCTGAAGCGGGTGGAAGTGGAGGCAGGAATTTAGCAACGGAGCCTCCTTCATTCTTTGTGTTTGTCCCCTTCCGGGTTTGTTAGGCAGAGATCGAGGAGCTGAAGAAGGATCCTCCTGCCGTGCTTTCGCCAAATTTTGCCTCCAGTGTCCGAAAGGGCGTATGTCAAGTCGCTGAGGTCACTTACCTCCTTCAAGAGCAGGAAGCCGAAAGATGCAATGTCACAGGTGCGCGGGAGTAGCAGACATTCGCAGGTTCTACAATACCGCGGTATTCTCGGGCCCGTCGGGCCTCACCCACCACTTCCAGCCATTGTGGGCCCTTTCCACCGCCCTCACCCCTCGTCTGTTCCCTGAACCCTGGTCTTTCTGTCTTTCAGCTTTTTGGCGTTCTTTGTCTGTTGCCTTGGCCCAAGCCCCTCCTTTGTCGTAACACTGTCGGAAAGTCGTTTCTCCACGCAGATCCGGATCCGATGGACCACGTCAATGTTGGCGCCGCATCCACAGGCAGGGTCAGAGACAGAGCTCCGTCGGCCTCGGAGTCGGTGGATAGCGCTTGTGGCTTTTCAGGTGACTCGCAGAAGCCCCTGGCCAAGAGCAAGAAAGTCGTGAACTTGGAGAAGCTTAGCCTGCAGTCCACCAGCAAGTACACTCTTCTTGCATTTCCATTCAAACTCAGAGCCCCTGTCGTTGAGCCTGAGTATGAGGAAGAAGCTCCGCGAGATTGCCAGCCTGGAAGACAAGAAAAAGTCTGGCGAGCTGCCTGGCAGTGCAGATCGGGGAAGCATCGCGTTGGGACGTGAAAGCCGTTGGCAGTATGTTTACATCCTGGCTCCAGACGTTTTGACGGATCTACACTAGTGTTCATCGGGCGGACCACGGGTCCTCTAGAAGCCATTCAAGTGCGCTTGCTTTCGAGTCCACTTTGAGGCCGATCCCCTTTTGGTCTTGGCTCGCCTGGCATCTTGAGAAATCCGAAGCCACCAATGAGGTCATTGGACAAGCTTCAAGAGTCCAAGATCCAGAAGAAAAAAGAGATCGAGGCGGTTTGGTGCCCCGAAACCTTTGACGACGATGTGACACCCTTACGCCTTCGCGTCAGGGACAGCTCCAAGCGGCCTTGGAAGAGCCAGTCCAAGACCAAGGCACCTTCGTGAATCATTTTTCTTTGGTGCAGCTAGCCGTCATGTGTCCATCAACTGGGCACCGTGAGTGCCCAGAAAGGTGTATGTGGATTTTGAAACCATTGACCACTGACGTCACTGAGTGCAACTAGCCAAGACCACTCGAGCAAATTCGGAAGGCGCCGCCCTGCCGGCAGCCGGCACCGAATCCCGGCAGCGGAAGAATCGCTTCCTTGAATCGATGAACAATTCCCGGCATAGCCCCGAAGCGGGTCGCTGACGGTATCGAAGGAGATCCCGATACCGGATGGAGATAGCGCGCTGCCGCCAGGGCCAGGCCAGCAAAGTTCACGTGCTTCCATGCTTCCAGTACTGACGTCCTCTGCCTCCCAAATGCTGCATGTCCTCCTTGTGAAGGATTCAACGCCGGCTACTCGTAGCTCATGTCATATGCCAAAATCACACTCCGGAGTGATGGCTTCGAAGGTGCAAATGCCAGCACGCGGCCTGCCACTGAAGGCACGGAGCAAAAAGAGATTGCCTGGATCCACGTGGTGATTTGCAAGTGGTGTAGGTGTGGCGGTACAGTGACATGAACTGAAAAACGTTACGTGCTGGATTGGTTGGTGAAAGCTGTTTGATGGCATGGCGCATGTCTTAGTGTCTGTGGCCAGCTTCGAGGTCTTTACATGTGCCACTGTATCGATGCAATCCGGGGCCACGCCGGCAAGCAGCAGCGGCGGGCGAAATACTTCAAGCACGACCCTCAGGGCAACCTGGCACGGCTGTTGTCGTTCGATGAGTTCACTTGGTCCATGGTCGATGGCGAGATTCCTGGCAGGACTCAGAATGGACAGTCATGGCGAAAGGCGGGCGGGGTTGCATGTGCCACGTCCTGACAGATCCATCCTGAGTTAGAGGGTTCATCAGAAACATTTTGAAACAACGTTTCGTGGCGTTCGGTGCTGTGGAAGATCTTATCAAGTGATATATGATGTATACTTCCGTCCCACCTACTTCCCGGAGATCTTTCAAGCCTTTGACAGCTTGTTATCGTGCAACATATTCAGGAATGCTTGTGCAACAGCTAGACTTTAGACAGGCAAGTACCTTGATACTTGTGTGTGCTCTTCCGTGCCATGTCCCCCACCCCCACTGCCTCGAACCTACTGTGAACACCTCGCGGACGCGTCCAAGCACCACGGCATTCCTGGAGGAATACTGTGGGGCCTTCGCGGTGCAGAAACCGGTGACTACTTCGAAGACCAAAGACAAGGCCAAGTTCGATCTTATCCACGACTTCGCAGCTGGGTTGAATCCAGCCAAGACGTGTTTTGGCCCAGAGTTGCACAGACGTTTTATCCCATCTGCGTCTCTCTGATTCAAAGCAGAAGAGGTTATCATGGCTGAAACCATGCTAATGATGCTAATGTTTGTTCCTTGCCGCTCTTAGGAGTTCTTCCTTTGGTCAACTTGGCGGGACAACTTCGACGCCATCAAGCGGCCGGCTTGCATACGGCTACGGAAGGAGGGCTGCTTGTGTTGCGAGAATCAAGAACGACTCCCGGGAACAAAGTCTCGGCTTTCCCACTCGACTCATCCAAGAGTCAGAATGGAATGCAGCAAGCCTTTGGTCCTCTTGCTTCTTGTTCACCTTGTACTGTGTACTGGTAGATGTGCACAGGAGTTGCGGCTGTCGCAGTCGCCTGCTGCACCTCATTATCGCCAACTCTGTATAGACTCGCTCCTGCACGCCTTAGCCTATCGGACTCAATCAACATAGTGCTTTAAACTTCGCTTATCCCCGTCGTCAATCTTCTGTGTGCTGCAGCATGTCCCAGTAGCAACCAGTCGGTCGGCTCATGCTTGTCTTCCTGACCTGGAAACCGAAACTGAGTTTAGTGAGGCTTGGCGCAACTTGGCCACGCTCTGTTTGGATTCCTATTAGCGTGCTTGTTGTGCCGACAAGTTGGTCTATATCTGGCGGGGATATGTTCCGCCGCATTGATACCGATTGGGCTAGTGACAGCTTCACTCGGCACTGCATTCCCTCGAACGAAGCTTCAGACACAGATGCCTTGCAATTGAGATGCGAAGTTTGAGTTGCCGAGAGGATCAAAATTCTCAAGTGAAGAAAGACGTAGGAGATTTCGAGGGATTCAATGGTCCTTAAATTGGGCACTCGTCCCCACAGTCAAGGACAACAGGCCCAAGATGCCGACGTCATCCTAACCGCATGCAATCATGCAAAGCTTCCTGTAGAAACTGGATGGAGAACACTCATTGAATCCATTTTGTGTTTCGCGGGAGCATGTTGAACCAATTCCTCTGCCTCGCAGATGGAAGATTTCGGATGCAGTGAACGTCGACCGCGGATCCTTCCACTTGGAGACGGAAGGCGGGGAAAGGCTTCTCGGCAGGTCCGCAACAACGTCCTGGCTTTGCCAGCCCAAACGACCTACTCACATGTGTATACGCAAAGCCAAACCTCCTGAAGCCCAGGCTTCCCTTTGACGCAGATTGCATCGACATGCACGAGGTCGCTCGTCAGTGTTCTTGAACGACAAAGAGATTTCTCACCGTAAACCGCAACAAACGTGCTGCGTCTTTCTCCCTTGCTCTCAGCCCCGCGCAAGGAGCTCAGCAAAAGGGCTCAAAGCTGTCCGATGCTTGAAGAGTGTCTTGGACGCAACCTACTCGGATTCGGGGTCTTCGTCCAAGCCACGGGTCCCCTTCAAGTAGGGCTGTGCGGCTGGGCGGGCTAGGAACATGGTTTGGGAGAACTCCCTTCTTGAGAGTTCTTGATTGCGCCTAGAAGGCGAAGAAACTTCAACAACTGAGCTGAACATGTTGAGGCAGAATGGAAGCCCCTGCTTGTTGCATCTGCACTTAGGAAGCCCCTGGTGCGCATCAAGATAGTGGCCCAAAGCGTGAGCTGAAAAGCTTGGTAAGTCTGATTCTTGCAGCGGGACCAAGGTTGCAGACAGTAGCATAATCGTGTGAGTCCTAAGCACCAAATCCAGAGATGCTGCAATCCGTGTTTGCGACGCTTCAGCTTTGATGGGAACCGCTGCGCCCTCCAAGAGCCCTCAACAGGTTGCCCTCCCAACCACGAGTTTCACGACGGAGGGCTGCGGAATACAGCGAATTGTTTTCGGAAGGCTTTTTTAACAGAGCGGAGTTGGGGATTGGCATGTACCGGCTGTGTGCTGGTGTTCTCATGAACTAAGACACACTGTGATGCTTCCTGCTCCGTTTAGCATCAACCGGCTTAGAGGTTCACTGGCACTCGCCGGTGAATCCTGAAGCACCTAGGACCTATATCCAGAGACTGATTTCAAAAAGGAGAACCCCCGGGATTGGATGCAAAAGGGGAAGCTGTGAGCAAACACGATGCATTCGGCATACCAGGCAAGATCATCATCACCTGTGCCTGAGTCTAGGGGAGAGACGGTACGTGCGACTTGGGGGAAGCTATCGCTGGAACGCAGTGAACGCGGCATTTTGAGATGGCAGAGGCGGTTGGACCGTGACGAAATTTCGATCGAGGGCTCAGGGTTCGGTCTTGTCTTATGCAGCCTTCTTCACACAGCGTCAGCTAGACGACCAAATTGAATTGTTGGGCATGGCGAAGGCGCTTTAGGCATCGAGGAGTCAATGTCAATCGCACAGTAAGTCTTTGTGCCGTGCCGCCGTGGGCGCATGCAGCGGCAGCGGCGACGTTTGCGACGCAGGTTTTGCAGCCAGGACTCGGATGCGGAGGCTGGCAACGTGGCCCTCTTTGTTTTCACAGGGCCATCATCACAAAGATCGCAAGACATTGGTCATGATACGGCATTCGTTGGATCCTAGTTTTGAATCCAGATCCGAGAACTCACTCCCGCAGAAACAGCGGAACCTCAAACACCCGAAGCTGCCAGACCGAGCCAGTAGGTTCTTGGGATGTGCGTCAGTGTGACTCAAAACTCACATGTCGGAATCCCAGGCACAACCAGAACCTGCAGGCCCGACGCTACGACTGCAAACTCTCAACATAAGCCCTTCAGTCGCAGTCACTTGACTTCGTTTCTTTAACCTCCCTGCTGTCCCGGGCAGCTTGTCGAGAAACGGCAAGCCTGAATCATATGGATATGAAAGGGTTGTTTGAAGCAGGGCCGCAGGAAACACACCGAACGCGGAGCTGAGGTTTTTGGGTGGGTGCGTGTGTATATATATATATATATATATATAGATATGTATCTGTATGTGTATACCGTAAACATGTCCTGTTTTGCACGTGTTTGCTGTGCTTCACATGCAACAAGAGTCTTGTCCCTTCGTCCTCGGGGAGAGTTGTTTCCTTGCAATTTCTTAGGAATCCAAGTTGCGATGTGCTTTAGCAGACAAGCAAGTTGATGTAAACGAGGCGAAGCAGATGGATGCTTTTGCGCAGATGGAGCTTGACAGGCTTGGCATGTTCAGCCAAAGCTGAAGCACTAGAGTAGGCAGCTTCGTGTTCAAGCTGCATGGACACTACTGAAAGTGCTTGGAGTAGGATGCTGAGAGACTGTTGCAGAACGAAGGTCTTCACAAGGAGTTGTTCCTTGGTGACTGGACTCTGGCAACGGATATAGCGGTCCCGTTGTTGCCCAGTTGGGTTCACTAGCTCCAGTATTGAATGCATTTTTGAAATCGATGACAAGTCTGATGGCTACTGCGGCCCGCGCCGGCCTGCCCGGGCCGGAGCATTTCGGTGGTTTTCAATGCATCTTCAACGCTGTTTCGAGTGCTTGTCCAATGAAAGTTTCAGTGATTTTCAGCCTGCCGGATGGGCCGCCTGTCCGGCTGCGGGGCTGAGCGGGGCGTTTGCCAAGTTGCCACACGTTTGTGTGTGGAGTTCGCAGAACAGTCGCTACACTTCTTGCAGTAGGCATGTCAACCTCGGGCTCTAGCTGGAACAGCTCCTTACAATTTGCATCGTTACAGGCAGCGCGAGGCTAGGCAAAGAGTAGCCCGGCCCTCAGTCAATCCTACCTGAAGGCATGCTGCATCAGCTCTGACTTCATCCGAGTTGCAGCGAAAGGCTAGGAACTGTAAAACATCCCACTTCCAGCACGAGACTAGGGCCTCGATGCTCGCGACTCTCTACGCTTGTGTTGAACAATAGGCTTTGGCTGGTTTGGTTGCCCTACGTGCAGCCGGTTTCGGGACAGCACTGGGCTTGTGAACAGGCCGAAAAGCCGTGGCAAACCTCGAAGCTTAACTAGTTTTATTTCTGCTGTACGTCAGAAGCCTAAGACCGTGAGCAAGCCATATGCGAAACCAACCACAACACCAGAAGAGCATAACTCCAAGCACGTAAGCCGCTCAACGTGTAAGGTGGAGCCGTTCCTTCGACTTATCCTCGTGGGCTTTGCTGAAGGAGTGGTGTGCCCGAGGGCACCGTGAGCGGTCTTAGCACTGTGCCCAAATCAGGAGAGTCCGCATAGGGCAGCTCCATGGAGTCTGATCGCAAGAAGAATGGCTGGCGTCTGTGCGGCTGACGGCTTGGGAGGGCTTCGTTGTCACATCGCCGCAGGTCCAAAACAGCGGAAAAGGCTCGAAGGATGGGACGGATCCTCGGTGCACTCGGCGGACTGATCTCGAGATGTCTCGGCCCAGACGAAAGTCCGTTTTGGTCTGAGGTCAGATGCGCTCTCAGTGAAATCCATACGGGAGAAGGTGCCGAGACTCTAGAGAGTCAATGATCATGCATCCGCCAGTTGCAAGGCAACACCTACGGTGGCCCAGCCATCATGGTCGCCTTCATTGCGCCTATGTGGCCTCCTCAGTGCTTCTACATCTCACATGTTCGATAGTTGCTTGGATATGCATAGATTTAGGCTGGCCATCCTTTCATTGACAGGCCCGGGCATCACAGCATTTTCGATTGTTTTGTAACATACGAAGTGCAGTTATCAGTCACTCTAGTAGAAAAGAAAATACGACGTCTGTCTCCCCTCCCCCCCCGGCCCACCAATTTTGTACAAAAGCAATAGGGCACGGACCCAAGAAACGGATGTATAGGTAGTTGTAGGGGGAGTAATTACCCTCGCGCGGACCAGCCTCTGTGAAGGTCGGATCGGCTTGGCCTGGCCAGAGGAGATGGTTGAATTGAAGTGGTTGTGTGTCTGCATTCTGTCAGCTTGCAAGTTGATCGCCCCATAGCATGACCTACAACTTGTGTATGTATAGCCCTTCGCCTTAAGCCTCAAGCGGGCCGATAAATCCAATTTTGCTTCAAACGCCATGCCGGTGTTCCTTGGCTATCTGCAGTCAGAAGCTGTACTTCACACCTAAAGGCAGTTGAGCAGAACCTGTTTAGCATGTTTGGCGTGATTTCACTGCATCAAGGTACTACTATGTGCGGGCCCAGCCCGCGGCTGGGTCCAACACGAACCAGGGACACCAGATGCAACAATTCAACTACATGGGGCCGGTTGGTATGCAAACGATGGATCAAGGGTGTGGAGTTCAGGGTTTAGGGTTGTGCGGTTGAGGGGTTTTGGTCGTGACTTCTCGGTGAAGACTTCCCGGAACTTGCTTGAGGCGACGCAACAGGCCAACGCCGGCAAAGCGAAGGCCTTCTTCCGCTTCCACGGGTGGCATCGCAGGGTGTTTTTTCAATCATGATTAGTATGGTTTGCGTGAGTAGCAGGGGGGATATGTTTTGGTTTTCTTTCTCGTAATTTTCATTAAGTGTGAGTAGCATCATGAGGACCCCGGAGGACCATTGTTGTCGTTGCTACTAGTAAGCTACCGTTCCTTGTACTGATGTTCTTATCGTTGCGCGCATGGCTACTACTACTGCGGAGATTACGCCCGTTGTTGTCAATGTTCCAAGGTCAGGAAATCGCACCCTTACTGGTACCTCACAGCCCAAAGCTTTCTCTCACAATTAGCCCACATGCATGCCACGTGTGTGACGGAATCTCGACAAGCTCCAAGCAGATGTTACAGCAAAGTTGCACCGACTCAAAGGCCAGAGAAGTTTCAGTTCAACGCAATGCGCCACCAAAGTTTTCAGCCTACTGTGCACCGACACGTGCAGCACTGGAAAGATCTTAAAGATTTGTTTGCGACGGCATGGTCTGAACGTCGGGAGGTTCCGGAATTTCACTGGGCATTGCCGGAATGGAGCCAAAACTGCTGTACCTTGCCCTTCAGTTTCTAGCTACCCCTCTCTCAGTAATCTCGCTCGGCGTTGCTGCCGCTTTGCACTGAGAACTCCTCGCGCATGTCTTCCCAAGACAGCTTCCTCATGTCTGCAACTGTTCTCTTGTGCTGTTGCTGGCAAGTGCAAACCATCGAACTGAGGGTACCACTTTCCGACACTGCCCGCCGCGGGTTTTTGACAAGTCTGAGACTGGTACCCTCAATTATGCAATTCCTGATCCAGACTGTCAGTGGCTGTTCTTCAGCCCATGCGTGGGACTTGAGCCTGGTAGGCAAGCAGATAGCATCAAGGTAGCGCCAGGTCTGGGGGATCGGCTATGGCTGCAAAGCTTTCGCTCGACATGCATTGCAAAGCCTCCAGAAACGCATCCAGATCATGGGCCTGCAATTGGACCCGCGCAAGAGTGCACAAAGATGCTCCGTATTATGATGCATACTTCGGCAAACTAGGCGCGCAATCTTGGAATCGAACATCTCCGCAAGATCAGGCATCAATTTCCAAGAGGTTGCCACTGGAGGGCAGCGTCCAGATTCTTCTGTGATGTGAACAAGTGCCTTTGAAGAAGGAGCTCAGCTTCCACTTTCCGCTCTTTGAAATTTTTGTACTTGAAAGTCGTGCCTACAAGCCGTCTTGGTCGTGGTACTTTGGCACTCGCGGATATAAGTGCAAGAATGAACAGCCTGTTGCATGGCGAGCGCCCACGTTTCTTTTTCGAGCCATCACCGTCATCAGCATCGTCGTCAT